CCGTTGTTAATCGAATAGCGTTTTGTTCTTGTGCCTATCAAGGGATAGAGCAAGGCTGATCTCCCCCAGATTTCCATCTTTTAAATCAATTCACTCAAAGTCACAGTGTTTATTGTTTGTTTGTACTTGTTGTCAATTTAATGTGAAGTTAAATCGAACTTTATTGCTTTGTAATGGATATTTGACGCTCTTTCACGGCCACGGTACTGCTCGCGACGGATTTAGATTTAGATTTCGAGGATTGTTTCGAGGATCGACCGAGCACGAGAAGGGTTGTTAAGCTGAAAAGCTTTTGGATCAAGAATCAGACTACATTAGTACATAGAATCAACCTTTCAATCTAAACCCTACCCATTTGCTATCATCAAAACGAGCGGCACGATCGTTTTGATCAAAAATAGAGGCACTGCATTTGAGAGGCTATTCAACCATGCATCGCCGATCAATTGGAAAAATATGGCGGTTCCGGTTGAGATCGCTGTGAAACCGTGGCTGAAACACATCTAAATCTCAATTTTGAGCAAGAATATGTTAGTTTTCAAATACCACATTTTAGAGAATTCATTGTTTTATAGGTAAATGCTTAGGTAATAGGTCTAGACTTAAAGTCTAGACCTTGAAAGCCCGGTAGTCAAGACCAGGTTCAAGCCAGGACTGGTTTCTGACTCTGACAGATTTCTAGAATTTCCCAAATTTCCCAACTGCTAACCCACCATGACTGTGAGCCGAAAATGCGCCCGATTGATCGCTGGAGCGCTTCGCTTTTTCTAAAACAATATCTCAAATAGTAAAATAGGGTAGGCTGGTTGGATTACCATACTTACCATTTTCGACTTGATTCGCCAGAAAGTTGTCAAATCAAGGAGCAATCCGACACAAACAATAACGAGAACTGCAGTTTGATAGATCACTATCAAAATCGCCCACAGGGGTCCAAAAGCGACTGCCATGAAGGTCCACGGGGCGTAAAAGATTGCGTTACCAGCTGAATCATAAATTTAGAAATAGATTTAGAAATTAGTTGATGAAACGAACGAGATAATTGAGCATAAATAACCCCGGTCGATGGCAGGAAAAGAATGAATCCGACTTGCAGCAAAGCAAAGGAGTTTACTTTCTGAATGAATGTGATAAACTTTAGACTTAGGCTTAGGCTTAGGCTCAGGCTTAGGCTCAGGCTTAGGCTTAGCCTCAGGCTTAGGCTTAGGCTTAGGCTTAAGCTCAGGCTTAGGCTCAGGCTTAGGCTTAGCCTCAGGCTTAGGCTTAGGCTTAGGCTTAGGCTTAGGCTTTGCCTCTTACATCATAATATTTCCCCTCAAAAGCGCCGGCGAAGAAACGATTGACACTCAAAAAGAATTGCGCAAGAATCATGCTGAAGAGAAAGGAGACGACGATTGGGGTAATTGCGAAGTTCATGTATTCTAAGAATAAAAGATCTCCATCACCTCCGAGACAAGCATTTCTGAAATTTTTCTGAACCTTCTGTCAAAAACGATTCTCTCTTGCTCAAGAGCTGAAGTCAGAGCCCAAAACTCTGTAATACTTATAGAGTAAGTCAGAAGAAAAGTACAGCATTTACTAAACAAGTTATCAGAAAAAAAGTTAAGTTTTGTTGATTCAGCTAGTCGATCCCAACGTCGACCCGAAATTAATCGGCATCGAAACGGAAAGAGGACAAAATTTGCTGGCAAATTTTGAGACAAAGGTTTGCTAGCAGAAAAAGATCTAATATACATATTTAGCCGTGTAATTTCAGCAATAATACAGGGTGCGGCATATATAGTGTTGCGCTTAATGCATTTTTTGATTTTCTAAGACAATACATTAAGCTGAAAAGCTGAAAAACGACAATTAATCATGAAATCTAAGCGTAACTTTATATAGAATAGAAAAACCGTAACATTTTTTAATGGCTTTAACAACAAAAGTACAAAAAATGCTATGCTGAAATGCTGAAAAACAGTTAAATTCAAGTTTGGGGCTTCTAAAAAATAGTTTTTTTAGTTTTTTCTGTCTTTTTTTGCATTAATACGTTTTTAGAGTTAACTACTATAAAATTAAGTGCTTTTTGAGCTCCATTATTACAAGCGCGAGGTTATCGTGGCTAACAAAAATGGGCATTTTTTTCAAGAGCAGCAATGGCGTTTAAAGTCTTATATGGAACGAATGAAGTTTTAAATTTTTACGTAAATTCATGACTATGTTCAAAAGGCTTTGGTGCTTGTGAATACTTTCATTCAGTCAGTTCAGATCAAACAAGGTGAAAAAGCCAGCACCTAACCAGCCATTGCTTTGTCTGATCTAGTCACGAAAAAGGTACCGTATTCTCCCTAATAGTAGTACAGCCTTGCCTAAAAGCTTTGCCAAGCTTTGCCTAAAGTCCTCGAAATCTCTCGAACCGCTTATCAGAGCCTATCGATGTGGGGTCGGAAAATGAGAAATGAGATCTGCTGGGGGATTAGAGTGTTGAGCTTCTGGGAAAACTTGGAAACTGTAAAATAGTCCTCAACACGGCTCGAACTACTATTCGAGGAAATAGAAAATTCGAGTCGTTTTCGAGGACTCAATCTATGCACTCACTTGTTGAAGATACAAGCAATTTCAAAATAAAACTGAAGAGACATCAGACTTCGTAGGAGATGCTCGAGAAACAGAAAATAACCGCAAGCTTTTGAATATGTGCTCGAATTTTGTCGGATATTAAAGAAAGCGGCCAAGTTCACCACCCAACAGATGGTGCCGAGCTGGAATTCGTTGTTTCAAATTGTATTTCCAGTTGGACTTTTTCAAACAACCATAACTAGTTTTGTTAGTTTCAAAAAATGTCTAAAATAAGACTAACTTGAGCTAAAAACTGACTACAAACTTGTCTACAAACTTGTCTACAAACTTGACTACAAACTTGACTACAAACTTGTCTACAAACTTGTCTACAAACTTGGCTACAAACTTGAGTATACTTGACTACAAACTTGTCTACAAACTTGTCTACAAACTTGTCTACAAACTTGTCTACAAACTTGAGTATACTTGACTATAAACTTGACTACAAACTTGACTATAAACTTATTCAGTTATTCAGCTGTATTTCCAGTTGGACGTTTTCAAACAAGTATAACTGGTTTGGTTAGTTTCAAAACTTGTCTAAAAACAAGACAAACTTCTCTACAAACTTGGCTACAAACTTGAGTATACTTGACTATAAACTTGTCTACAAACTTGTCTAAAAACAAGACTAACTTGACCACAAATTGACTACAAACAAGTTTAACTTGGTTCCAAATTAGGTTGAATTCAAAAGTAGGTTGAAATTTGTATAACTTTAGATCAACCCACCAAAAAAATCGTCACCGCCACCCAAATATCGGTGCTCGTGTTTGCTAATAGTGGGTTTTCTTCTTCGCTGGACATTGTTAGCCAAATAACTTCTCGAATTTATTCAAATAACTTCTCAAATTTAGACATAACTTCTCGAATTCAGGCAAATAACTTCTCAAATTTTCGTATCTACCCAAATGAGTCAATCAATAGACCAAAACCATAAAATTACCTCCAACTTTTGGAGGTAATTTTGTGTTGGAGGTAAAGTTCGAGGTTAATTTATGGGTTCGACAAAAAAAACGCAAAAAACGTTCAATTTCGTTTTCATTTCCTCAACCCTCAATTTGCAAAAAGTAAAGGGGAAATCAAATAAAAGCTTTTTCGTATTTCAAATCTAGAATGGGTTCAATATCCCGAAAAATGAGTTTTTTCTCCGTTTTCCTCATTTTTGAATCGTTCAGCCATATCTACGTAGAATTAGACTTCGGAAAACAAAACTTAACCAAAACCAAAACCACCAAAACCAAAACAGACCAAAACCAAAACCAAACCAAAACCAAACCAAAACCAAAACCAAAACTAACCAAAACTCGCCAATATCTCGCGATTGGGAGGAGCTAGCGAAAATCTGTTTGCAGATTTGAAATCAGCGTCCAAAAATCTATCCCATAGGCTATTTTTTGTTTCGAAATTTCGAGGTCGTGTTTTGGTCCTTTTTTTGGCCGCGAGATTTTGGGGAGTGAGAAAAAGTGAAAGGCAAATTTGCATTTTACATTAAAATTTGCATTTTACAATTTTAAATTTGCATGTTAATTTATATGCAAATTGAGTTTTGGTTTGTTTTGGTGTTTTGGTTTTGGTTTTGGTCTGTTTTGGTTTTGGTTTTGTTTGCCGAACTCTACGTAGAATTTCGGTGCTCCGATTTCACTAAAACCATTTGAAGGGTGAGTTTGTTTGAAGGGACGAAATTGTTTGTTGTTTATTCTAAATACAATGTTGAAAATAATTGAACTTTAATTTGCTGCATTATCTTATCAAAGCTGGATACTTTCTTTTAAATCTACCTCGTCTGGGGAGATTAGCTCGTTCTTAAATCGACATCACTCGAATGACTCTCAACTTTGTAAGGTTATATAAAGATTCTGGAAGCCCGAATCAGTGAGAAAATGGGCTCGGCTACAGGAGAAATATTCAAAAATCAGCTCGCAAAATTTCAAACGGATTTATTGAGTTCTCGCCGAGCTAGACCCTCAAAAGTGAGTCGCTATCATTCGTGGTCACCTTGTAGTGTTCCGAGAAAGGATTAATAAAACATTTTTGTTTCTAACTTTCTAAATTTTAGTTTACATTTTTGCCACGTTAAAACACGGGATCCCGTGCGATGTGCCAAGTTAAGTAGCTTCAAAAACGGCTCTCAAAAACCTTAAATTGGATTTTTTCGCCGGCTGTACCGTGACTCTCAACTTTGTAAAGTTATATAAAGATTCTAGAAGCACGAATCGGTTAGAAAATGGGCTCGACTACAGGAGAAATATTGAAAAATCAGCTCGCAAAATTTCAAACGGATTCATTGAGTTCTCGCTGAGCTAGACCCTCAGAAGATTGCAAAGATTCAAAAATTTTGACTGTTCTTTGCCAATTTCTTTGAAGTTCTAACAGATTATGTTTATCCAAAGTTATACAAAGTTGAAAAAGCGATAGTGACGTTGAAGATCCAGAACAACGATGATGAGAAAGCATGAGATTGAGAGAGCCGGGAGAGATGAACTGCTGTACCGAGTCTCGGTCGGTCTGCGCCATTCCGACGCATCCCGCGGATCTAAAAGCTCATTGAATCAAACGAGAAATGGATATTCGATGAATAAAAGTATCTAATCATCTACTAAACCTGCAGGAATGTTCCAAACGGACCTTAGAGCCTGTAAGTTAGTCAAACCAGAGCCAGGTCAGGGACTTTTCTGATCTAGAACTGCAGTAAAGTCTCCTCAGTACCTGGAAGACCTGGAAGACGCTGAATGAATGAAATTCATTCAATCAATTTCATTCAATGAATGAAAACGGAACTTTTCTTTTTACTTATAGAAAAGAAAACCCCGAACTCACCGTCTCCGGGTTTTGCCAAAACGATTGCTGTCAGTAACAAAAGACCCAGCAATTTTTGAAGCATTTTGGCTACGATTGATTGCTTTTAGGTTGGAAAATAATATAATATAGTCTGTAATCTCTGCAGTCCAAAATGTGATCAAAATGGTGGAACGAGTCGAAAAAAATGGAAAATGGAAAATAGAAAATGGAAAGAAAATGGAAAGAAATCAATTGTTTTTCATTTTTTTTTATATTCTCATGTTTATCTCATCAGGAATAAGCACTGGAATCTCCTTCAAATCCGCCAGTAATAATAGCCCAAGTATTGTCCGTGCCAATCAATAACCATTGTTTGTTACCACTGAGGTTAGGAAAGGCAATTTTTCCAAGATACATTTGCGAAACAGCTAATTCCTAAGAAATATTGGTGTTCTATTGATGAGAACAGTAGATCTTGCCAAAAGTTGCTCTAGAAACTTGGAAAATAAAAAATACCAGGAAAATGGAAACAAAAAGAACAAAAACAATTGTTCTTTTTTGTAGCTTGCTGTAGCTTACTGTTTGTCTACATTTTGTCTTGCTAAAGATTTCAAGTAATGAAAATGAGCGCGGTACGGCGTTGTACAACAATTGTACAAAGTTCCTTGTGCTGTTTTCCATTAAACTTAAAAAGTACTTAATATTTCTCAAGTTTACCTTTTCTGGGATCTCCTGTCGACTCTTGAAGGGCATCTCACTGACGATTGATCGTAAACGATCGAACCATTGCCGATCCAAGTACTCGTCGATCCAAGTACTCAGCCACCACTCCTTCCGAATCTTTGCGCTCTTCTGCAAGTTTAGAAAGTGATATTAGATTATCAGCTATCAGAATAATGAAAGGACATCAATTTTTCTTCAACTTTATCACTAAAACAGCTAAAAAGGTCGCCATTCTCATGTCTGTCTCATCAGGAATAAGCACTAGAATCTCCTTCAAATCCGACAGCCGTAATAATAACCGAAGTATTGTCCATTGTCTGTTATCATTGATGATTATATATCATGATTCCTGTAAACGTTGTTTCATTGCTGAATATATTAAGGATGTAATCTGTAATCGAGTCGAAAAAAATGGAAAATGGAAAATAGAAAATGGAAATAAAATGGAAACAAAACAATTGTTTTTTCATTTTTTTTAAATATTTATGTTTATCTCATCAGGAATAAGCACTGGAATCTCCTTCAAATCCGCCAGTAATAATAACCCAAGTATTGTCCGTGCCAATGTCCTGCAAACAGAATTGAAATCCGTGAATTCCCCGCAATTTTGGACTCAGATTTACTAAAAAAAATAAAAAGTTTATTATCAACAAAAAAATCGAAATCGAAAATTACCCTATTTACTCAAATGGGAAGACCGACCTCAATTATAAGACCGTCTCGAATAGAAGGCGGGGTCTAGGAGGTGATCGAAGAAATAGAAGACCGTCTCGAATATAAGATCGGTCTTATATTCGAGGTACCCTGTTTTCTATTCTGCGCGAAAGTGGCCGTACTCAAATACGGGAAAAGAATAAGGGAATTTACCCAATAGGGTAAAAATATTATATTTTCATTCAATAGCACAATTTTGTTGTTAAATGTTACAATAAATTTCTATAAAGAAGTTTTCTTTTAAACGCTGGTTACTTTCCTGAAAATTTTCGTGAATGCAAATAAGACTCAATTATAAGATCGTCTCGAATAGAAGGCGGGGTCTAGGAGGTGATCGAAGAAATAGAAGACCGTCTCGAATATAAGATTATATTGCGCGAAAGTGGGCGTACTCAAATACGGGAAAAGAATAAAGGAATTTACCCAATAGCGTAAAAATATCATAATTTCATTCAATAGCACTATTTTTTGTATTTTTTTTGGTACTTTCCGTTAGACTCCCGCCACCTCCCCATTTCTGTTATACTCCGTCAGTTTTTTTATCTAATTATTTGCTCATTTTTTTAATCTCAAAAATGACGGGGTATAACGGAAATATGGAGGTGACAGAGGTATAACCCAAAGAAAGAAAGCCTTGGAAGTTCGCCGAAATGAAGTTCAAATCGCTTTTAGAGTTGAGGTGAGATGAAAAGTTGAAGAATTTACTTTAACCAACGAACAATCTAGGAACAAAAGTTTCTTGGTGAGATGAGAAAGAAAGCCACTTCCACATTGCAATCGATCCATCAACGTCACCGTGAAAGAATTCGAACATTGGAAAGTTATTTTAACCATTTTAAATGATCAACAGGGACAACTTGTTTGTCGGAAAGAAATGGTTGAAAGAAAGTTGGAAAAACGTCTTCGAGAGGAAAGGTTTGCTAGAATAGATGATGGCTTAACTCTAGATTTCAAATTCCCTTCAAATTCGCTTCAAATTGCTAGAATTGATGATGGCTTAACTCTAGATTTCAAATTCCCTTCAAATTACCTTCAAATTCCCTTCAAATTCCCTTCAAATCCCTTTCAAATTCCCTTCAAATTCGCTTCTTTTAGGCTTCAACTGGAATCACAATTATCTATCGATAAATACAATATGTTATTGATGCAAGTAAAGTATCGACAAAAACAGGAAATCGATCGAGCACAAAAAAGACACGTTGCTGAAGAAGAAATTCTTGAAAAGTAAAATAGCTTATTTTCAAAAGCCTTTCCGATTTTAGAGAACTCAAAAAAGTGCGACAAACTTTTTCGAAAAGTAAAGCTGAAATTTTTATTTATGGAGACTTATGGAGAGGCAGTCAGGTAGAGTCAGGCATTCAGTCAGGCATATTTATAGAATTTAATCGCCAAATAAAACATTAAACAGCTAGGAAAGGTTTTAGAAGAGCACGTCCAAAAGTGGGCAGAAGGTTGATGTTGATACACTGAATGAATATGGTGAAACGAGAATGAACTCCCTGTTGAAAAGACAAGAAAATGAAATGATTTCATTGAAAGAAGAACATAGAAAACAAGTATTTTCTTACTGTTCTTTTTGCGATTTGATAAATTTTCAGATAAATATAAATTTCGAAGAGGCTTGCAAAGATCAATTTGACATTTCTGAAGTCTCTGTGATCAACACAATCAGATCGACTGCTGACGAGAATAACGAGTATTTGTCGATACATTTTTAGTATCTTTATCTTTTTATCTTTTTAAATATCTTTTTTAACTTTTAAAACTATCTTAAACTATCTTTGTTTTAGTAAAAACTCATCTTTGTAGACTAGGAAAAGTGTTATTTTAATATTCAATGGATGCAACGAGACAATAAATCTTTGAAATATAAAATGTACATACTTATACTGAACAAGTACAATTGTTGGTGCATGAACCAGAAAAGATATGGCTCGATGCACTCATTGCACCAGGAGCAATTTCGTTTTTGAAGACAGTTTTTAAAATTTATGATCTTGGAGTACGTTCTAAATATTGTAATCACATTGTCACACTCACTCAATCCTGTGACCAATCAATCGCGAAAAGCACCTCAATCCTGAGACCAATCAATCGCGAAAACCACCTCAACCCTGAGACCAATCAATCGCGAAAACCACCTCAACCCTGAGACCAATCAATCGCGAAAACCACCTCAACCCTGAGACCAATCAATCGCGAAAACCACCTCAATCCTGAGACCAATCAATCGCGAAAACCACCTCAATCCTGAGACCAATCAATCGCGAAAACCACCTCAATCCTGTGAGCAATCAATTGCGAAAACCACAAAGCAATCATTGAGAGTTAAGTTCATTTAAAAGTTTTTTTCAAAAAAAACATGATTACCAATTGTTCGTGATGCTAAAAGCAAGCTGGTGAAATAGAAGAATTTCATTTTAAAGGAAAAACGAATTAAATGAATGCCAGAGAACTGTCAATTTATAAGAAACAATGATTTATTCACTTTTCATCTCTCAACTTTTTCTGTCTGCAGTTTTCAACGTTTCTCTTTTCTTTTATCTTTCAAAAGGCTCCGTTTACGAAAACGGATATCTTTTGCTTTTTGTAAATTGTGATCACTTCAAAGCTTTACCAAAGAAATTTCCGAAGAAATCTAAAAACGTGCATTTGCAAAGTATATTTTACTTTTGTTTAGAAATCTTGTAAGATTTGCGAAACTTTTTAATGACTTAGTCATCGCGAATGTTTTCAACTCGAAAAAAAATTCAAGAAAAGACTTGTAGTGGTTAAAACAAAAACAAATTTTACGGTCCAGTTGATTTTGTAGGCACATTAAAGAATTGAAAAATAATCTTTGAATTGTGAACGTATCTCTTTCTTTGTTTTTTTTTGCATGTGATCCATGTTCACAGCACAATTTCGAGAAAAATAAGCTCCTGCGTATTTTCAGAGGATTACAGTTGGTTGAATCGCCTTTAAAAGCTCGAAATTTTCCCTAATACCATTCTGAGAGCTCTGTACAAAAAAAGTATATTCATTCGACACGAATAATGAATTACAACATAATGGAGGGAATTTTTACCCCTATTTATCCAAATGTTGTTAAGAAAAAAACCCATAATGATGGGAAAAAGAATCCCATAATGATGAGAAGTTTTTCTGGCCACCGGGATCGAACCCTTGACCCCCCGATCAGTTTTTCTGACCACCGGGATCGAACCCTTGACCCCCCGACTAGGAGACAAGACTCCTATCCTATCCGGTCGGCTACGATGGTTCAATTAAAAAATTTTTACAATTCTAGAATTTCAAAGTAGAATAAAGTAAAAATCTATCCTTTCTGTAAGCGGGAATATGATTAAAACCTCGAAATGTAGTTGAGCTATTTGTTTTGAATCGAATCATCGCCATCAATCCCAAAAATGTCGAGTAAAACCCCCAATTTTTCGAGTCTGACACATCATTTCTTAAATTATTTGACCAATAATTATTTGACAGCTTACCTATATAGTTGAAATTGTTTTGAATTCCATTCTGAATTCCATTCTGGGTTCCATGCTGAATTCCATTCTGAATTCCATTCTGGATTCCATGCTGAATTCCATTCTGAATTCCATTCTTTTTCTCAAACTTCTAAAACTTTTGCATATTGTAGACTCTCTGCATCATAATGTCTGCAAA